AGATTGACTTTTTCCATACAAATTGATACTGGCTTCTTAAAATCCCTTGTATAGTAGAACCCAGGGAGGGCAGTGCTAGAAGGCAATCAGATTTGTTGCATGCACATTTATTAATTATTTATTACAGGCACCACTTATATAGTGCCATCAATTTACGTAGCGCTTTACATATATTTATATATAAATAGAGAGAGAGAAGTGACCAGAGAACCTAGTTGTATTGCTCCAGAACAAGTAGTGAAAAAAATTAGGTCACCCACCTGGCTGAGTTGTCTGGTAGAGTTGTATAAATACCAATTCTGCACAGACAGAAAAAAAAACTTTTGGCAAGATATATATACACACAAATATATATATATATATATATATATATATATATATATATAAAAACACACACAGGCAGTCCCAAGTTACAAGAAGTGTCTTACATCCATCTCATACCTAAGAATGGAGGCAATGTGTTGGTCCCGGAAACCGCCAGGCGGCCATCTTGCTGCTCAGCACATGCTGCCACCTACTGTCAGCGATACCACATCACTGCACGGCCAGTTGGCCAGTTAAAGCTTCCCTATGCTATCTAAAACGTAACCACTAGCCTACAGGGCACTTATACCACCTTCCTGACCAGGCCAATTTTCAGCTTTCAGCACGTTGCACTTTGAATGACAATTGTGCGGTCATGCAACATTGTACCCATATGACATTTTATAATTTGTTTCACACAAATAGAGCTTTCTTTTGGTGGTATTTACATGCCACTGGGTGTTTTATTGTTTGTGCTATAAACAAAAAAAGCAAAAAATGTGAAAAAAAATGTTTTTCTTTGTTCCTATTATAACATTTTGCAAACAGGTAATTTTTCTCCTTCTCCAATGTGCATTGATGAGGCTGCACTGATAGGCAGCACTGATGGGCACTGATAGGCAGCACTGATGGGTACTGATAGGAGGCACTGATGGGCACTGATATGCGGCACTGATGAGGTGGCATGGATAGGCGGCACTGATGGGCAGCACTGATAGGCGGCACTGATGGGCACTGATTGGTGGCACTGAAAGGCGGCACTGATGAGCTGACACTGATGATGGGCACTGACTAGCGGCACTGCTGGGCACTGATGGGTGGCACTGACTGATGGCACTGACTGGCGGCACTGCTGGGCACTGACTGGCGGCACTGCTGGGCACTTATGGACACAGGTGGGTGGAACTACTGGACACTTGTGGGCAGCACTGGTGGGTGGCACTGCTGGGCACCTATCATCAGTGTCCTGATGATCGATGCCGATTCCTCCTCTGACAACTGCCGGTTCTCGACAGTACTTTCCTCATGCTGTGACATCGTGAGGAAAGTGCAGCCGATAACCGGCAATTGCATTTCCCAGTGATCAGTGTGTGTCATTGGGCACAGCTAATCACGTGGTAAAAGGCTGTTGTGATTGGCCTTTTACCATATTACGTGATCAGCTGTGTCCGTAGGACACAATGATCACGGAGGTCGCCGGGTGCGCAAAAGAGCGCATTCTGGGAGGACGTCATATGATGTCCACCCTGAACTGGCCGGCCGCAGTGAAGCCGTCATTTGGCTATCTGCGGTCGGCAAGTAGTTAAAAATTATTTTATGGCTGGAGTTACACTTAAAAATATACCTGTTCCAACTTGCATACAAATTTAACTTACAGAACCTATTTAGTTTGTAACCTGGAGACTGTATATATATATATATATATATATATATATATACAAGGGCGGACTGACAACTCATGGGGCCCCCAGGCAATAGGGAATCATGGGGCCCCTGTGTCCTTGGCCAAACTCACAAAAAGCCTATGAAAAAGGTACCAGGGGCATCTCATGGGGCCATCCTACTGACCCTAGGCCCTCGGGCAGTGCCCGAGTTTCCAAATGGTCAGTCCGCCCCTATATATATATATATATATAGTATATAGAAATATATATAATATATAATCCTGGGTGTGCAATATGTAACAAGTCCATTGAGATCATGAAATCCATATGCTATGGTATGTAATGATGGGTATAATGGTTTTGTGAGATAATTACTAAGGATAGGTTAGTTTAAGTGACTATGGCACAAGATGAGAATCCATTGAAGGATGCGTTTATTCTTTCTTGTCTATTTTTATTTTATAAAACCTATCACCTTTGTAGATCTCACATGAGTGATACATTAAGATAATGAACCTAGATAAAGGCATATAATAAAACAGCATACAAAGCAGCAACTTGCCTGCATCCATTAAAAAAGGAATGTGCTGAAAATCACATATATTTGCTGGTATTATCCTTACCATCTGCTCTAGTCATAAAAAGCAGAGGCTCATAGTAGGTTATTTTAAGTGTTCCAAAAGCATTTAGTAGCACTTTGAAATTGTTATGAGCATGTGGAAAACTTTGCTATCCAAATACTGAAAGCCAAGAAAACATTGTAATCAACACTAATTGCTCAGTAATTTTTTATGAGGTGCTTTTGCCTAGCACGTGTGCCAAATATTTTCTCAGCACCTGGTCTAATCTAATTTCCCTAAAGGTACAGACACACAAACTAACAATGGTGAAAAAAGAACTACCTTAACAAGCTCGTTTACATGGCAGTACTAGATAGCTTTGACATTTTTTAATTCAAAATACAGTCTATTTTTTGATTCTGTGATTGTGTTGTTAATATGTTTTAGTTGTATAACTGTCAATTCTATCTTTACCTAGTTAAATGTAAGCACAAAGGTAATTTTTAGTTGCGTGATCGAGTCACCAAAATCTCCCACTACCAGTGGTGTCACATAGAAAACATGTCACACAATAGACATAGGGGATTTTTGTAGAATAAATATCAAGTGAGCGATCATCAGACAATGCAATTCTCCAAATCAGTCACTGTGTGATTGATTGCTGCAATATGTTTTAGCTCACTGATTTTAATGGGAGAAGGTGATTAGCTGCTAGTATACACAAGCAATTTATTTTTAAAGCAAGTTCTGTGAAGAGAGTCAAAACATCTGATAAAAGTTCAAAAATATTTTAGATCGCCACCTCTCAAAATAGAAGATGAAAGAGTTTCTAGCCCAAGTAGAGACTTATGTAGGGATGAACCCATACATGCTTGTTTTTGGGCTGTCTCAAGCAATTTTAATTTTTTATAGCAAAAATCACCCTTTTGACCTGTGAAAAGAATCAAAGAACATCAGAAAAAAGTTCAAATATCTCAGGATGCCATCTCATCTCTCAATATAGAAGATGAAAGTGTTCCTTGCCCAAGTGGAGATGTGTAGCGATGAACCCATACATGCTTGTTTTGGGGCTGTCTCAAGCAAAACAGAAAGCACTCTTTTGACCTGTAATGAGAGTGAAGGGACATCTGATAAAAATTAAAAAAATATCTCAGGATGCCTTCTCCTCCAGCAAAATAGACAATGAAAGAGAGTCCCTTACCCAAGTGGAGACTTGAGTGGGGATCAACCTGTAAGAGTCAGTGGAGGGGCTCAGCACCAAAGAATTTGACAAGTTGGATGTTAGACACTTATTTTGTTGCAGTGATTTTATTCTATTATTCTATTTTTGATTTTTGAGTGACATGACACGATTATTTTTAATTTTGGTCATTGGACTGTTTGTTTTGGGATTTGTAGTTTTAAGTTTAGCACTTGGGTTTAGGGTGTGGAGTTTATGGACATAGAAATTTTGTCTAATAATCATGGTCCTGTCCCAACTTTTTTGCGACACGTTTCTTCCATCAATTTCAAAATAACTTTATTTTTTCCCTAAAATGTTACATTTTCTCAGTTTAAACCTTTGATATGTTTTCTTATGTTTTCGGAAATTAGGGAACACTTACTAAACATGTCATTTTGGAGCATTCTAATGTTTATTTTTTAAATACTAGGTTAGTAAGAAAATCATAGATTGCTTAAGGCCCTTTCACATGGGTGGACCAACTGGATTCACCTGTCTGTTTTTCAGGCGGACCCAATCGGACTATGCATTGTTCTCTATAGGGAGGCGGATATAAACTGACATGTATACATTTACACCCATCTGCATCCAATCTGATCTGCTAAAAACAGATGGATGGGGATTCGTTCCCGCATCCGTCTAGCGCAGGGGTCTCCAAACTATGGGCCTCCAGCTGTTGAAGTACTACAAGTCCCATCATGCTTCTGCCTCTGGGAGTCTTGCCTGTGGCTGTCAGAGTCTTACAAGGCCTCAGGGGACTTGCAGTTGCTCAACACCTGGAGGGCCATAGTTTGGAGAATCATGGTCTAGCGGATCAGATGACAGGCAGATGTAAACAGACAGGCGGTCCATTTACATCCAACCACCCCATAGAGAGCAGTTGGCTGTGTCCGTATCTGCTCTGCACAAGTGGAGCAGACACAGACCTGTCATCAGTCTGCTCAGGGGGAATCAGCGGATAGATCCCCTGCAGAGCAGGCAAATCTGCTTGGCAATGTTCGCTTGTGTGAAAGGGCCCTTAATCTAACATCCCTAGCAGCAATTGCCACCAGTGCCAGCAGCCATAGGTAGCACCCTAGTATTTCAGGTTAAGAATGAACTCTGCTTCAATCAGCTTTGTTACATGGGGGTTCCATAGCCCTGCATAGGCTATGACTCACATATTTCATAGCTTACACAGGGCTTTTTTTTCACTCCTGACAGGGAAATACAGTGGCAGGGTAGCAAACCAATGGTATATTAATTTATTTTCTTTTTTCAGTGCAAGAGTCATTGAGCTTTGTCATTGAAATTAATACTTGAACATTAATTCATGAGAATTTTGCAGCTTAAAGCTACAGAACACTTAACAGTAAATATCCCATTGTTTTAAATGGTGCCTGAGAGCTCAGGCCAAAAACGCCCAATCCTGTGTCCATAAATCTCTTGTAAAGCACATTGCTCCAAACACACCAAAAAAATGCCCAAAAAGCACCAAAAAATCCTGTAGAATAAAATATGCTCAAGTAAGAATGTAGCCTAAGATTACGGTCATACACAGGGGCGGACTGACAACTCATGGGGCCCCCGGGCAATAGGGGATCATGGGGCCCCTTTGTCCTTGCCCAAACTCAAAAAAGCCTATTAAAAAGGTACAAGGGGCATCTCATGGGGCCCCCTACTGACCCCGGTCCCTTGGGCAGTGCCCGAGTTTCCAAAAGGTCAGTCCGCCCGAGTTTCCAAAAGGTCAGTCCGCCCCTGCTCATACAATAAAAACAGGAATGGTGAAGCAGCAGTATAACAATACAAGGTCTATTAAAAACATTATGTAGCACTCTTGTCTCACACATGGATAAATAACATATTATATTTACCCTAAATCCAGTAATTCTATTATGTACTACAGATTTTTCCACAGCAGTTTTAACAGCTAAATAAAGTGAATGGATAACAACATTAAATTACACAGCTTTATATATCCATTTAAATGCTAAAGTGGTCTTTTATTAGAATCTAAAATAACTCTAGCATTAAAATAAGCCATAATTACAGACATAGCATAATGAATTAATTTGCAGACACGCAGTAAATGCGAGGCTTTACAATTTGTTCACTTCACATATTGGAGAAATACTTTGGGATATTGTTTGATTTTCCGTCATTGTTTACATACAGAAATGTTCTTAGGAAACAATGATCTCTATAGTATTTATTTTTATATTCAGGGAAACATTTGCAGTACAGTGCAAAAATCTCTAGTATTAAATTATATCAGAAGCATGCTTTCCTAGCCAGAGGTGACCTAAACTCCCAAAGGCTTTCAATCCTGCAAAAATATTATTATTATTGCAGGAGCAGATTGATGACACCCCTCTTCATTTACATCAATCAATTTGTGTGGGGGGGGGGGGGGTCTTCTCATAATTGAGTTATGCAGGTTATGCATAATACATCAACAAGCCTTCAGGCCCTCATTTTGGCAAATTATTATTAATATTGCGTACTGCTTATACTCAGGGATTTAACAATGAGTCATGGGGGCTCATAGCAAAATTTTGATGGGACCCCCGAGACCATCTCTCATTCTGTAGCAGTTTTCAGTGTCAACTGTGACAATACGCCTGAACATGGAAAATCAAGGACAACTGTCAGTATAGGCAGTATACTTCAATGTACCAGTGCTGTGCATTCAATTTATTATTGTAATATTAATAATAATATTCCTATTAATATTAACTATCCTATACGGTTTCGGCTGAGAAGAAACTCTGGGATATTTTGATTGCAATAGCTACTCAGGGTTAATTTCTGTCTGTTTGGTATCTGTGGTCTGTGATGATTTCGAGGTCTGACTTCAGATCTTCTTTTTTTTTTTTTTTTCTTAATATTTTATTCAATTTTACATTCCTTCTATTTTATCAATTAAAAAAAATCTCAGTATTACTTATTCAATTATTTTTCACCCAACATACAAAAAATACAAACTCCCCTTCCCCCCCCCACATCCCAGTCAATCCCCTCCCTCCCCCCCCCCCTTCCCCCCCCCCCCCCTCCCCCTCAGCATCATTCTTCTCTCTTTTAGAATCCTAGGGTTTTTCATACATTCCTCTTTCTTATACACTTTCAATTAATTTAACCCTCTTAAACTCCTCCTACTTTTTCCATTTCTCTCGAAAACACTCCATTTTATCCTCATCTATGGTATAGTTCCTCCATTCTACATATCTGATCTACTTTTCTAATCCAATCCAATATTTTTTGGTACTTCCTGTTCCATCCAGAATTTAGAAACCAGACTTTTTGCTGCATTAATATAATACAATAACCCAGAATTTTTATACCTTTCCACCGTTAACTCTGTTCCATGAAAAAGACATATTCCTGGTTCTTTTAAAATGTTTATCCCAGTTATTTCCTGTATCAAGTGAATTATTTCTTCCCAATATTTTTGTATTTTGTGACACTCCCACTAAATGTGACCTACCATGCCCTGTTCCCCACAGCCCCTCCAACATAAAGGTGATTTATCACTATTTTGTTTGTGTACTATATTTGGTGTAATATACTACCTCGCCAAACATTTGTAGTTCATCTCTACATCTTTCATACTCACATTAGCATGTGTTTAACTTATAAATCTTTTTTTGTTTATCTTCCTCTATTCTTATTCCTAGTTCTCTCTCCCATCTCTCCATATATGCAGGTGCCGTAGTTGTTGTTAACTTAGTAAGAATTTTATATATTTTTGAAGTTCCATGTTTCCCATCCCCCCGTGTACTTAGCAAAATTTCAAATGGATTCCATTGTTCTTTCTAAATAAGGGGCCTAGGTAGTTTTCCACAAAATGTTTCATTTGTAAATACCGCTACTCATCTATTTTAATAATCAGCTCCTTCTTCTTTTTCTACTAAGGGGCAAATTTCCTCGCCTTTCATTAAGTCTCTTAATTGAGCATCTCCTTTTTTTTATCCATCTCCCTGCAATCTTTTCTTTCCTAAGTGGAAAAGATCTGTGTATACAATAGGCATCAACATTGAATTGAATTCCCATCCCATCTGTTTGTGCATTGTGTCCCAAGCTCTCAAAACAATTCTTGTAAATACACTTATACTATCTATCACTGCCAGACATTGGGGTGGTAACCAAATTATCCTATCCAAATGTGTTTTACTTAATGTGTTTTCTATATTTATCCAACTTTTCCCCTGTGCATTATGTGTCCAATTAAAAATTCGTGCTATCAATACTGCATTATAATATCTCCTAAAATCAGGTACACCTAAACCCCCATTTTCTTTGTCTCTAATTAGAACTTCCTAACTTATTCTAGGTTTTTTTTTTCTCCATATAAACTTTAATATAATTTTTTTCATTGTCTTAAAATACTGTCCTGGCAGCTTTATTGGAATCATCTGAAATTTATATAAAATTTTTGGAACAATTACCATTTTAATTAAAAGTATTCGTCCTATCCACGAAACACCACCTCTCCCATATTCTTCATTTCATCCCTAATTTCATTTAATAATGGATTATAATTCACTTTATATAGATTCCTTAGGGAGACAGCTAAATTTATTCCTAAATATTTTAGTACTTTTTCCTTCCATGAGAAAGGATTTCCTTTTGTAAGGCCCTTTTCTCTCCTCTTGGAAGATTTATATTCAAGATCTCTGTTTTAGTTGGGTTAATTTATAGGTTAGACAGCTCCCCATATTCCTTCTGTGTGTTCATTAAATTGGGTAATGTTATCCTTGGGTTACCAACATAGAACAGCATGTCGTCTGCGTATGCCGCAACTTTATGTTCTGTCTCTCCTATCCTAATTCCCTTAATATCTATATTTTCCTTATTTTTTCTAAAAATGATTCTAAAGACAGGGCAAACAGCAAAGGTGACAATGGACATCCCTGACGGGTCCCATTATACATCCTAAAGTTCTCTGATATTTCCCCGTTAACCTTTACTTCAGCTGATGGTTGACTATACAATTTCCCTATCCATTTTCTCATTCAAGGCCCATCCCCTATCAAGGTCCTACCTTTCCCCAGGGCTTGTGCTGCTCCATGTGCTGGCATCCATCTTAGGTCTGCAAAGCATTGTGGGATCCTTTATGCTTTCAGCCCTCTGCGGCTCCTCCCAGGAGGTGGCGGCTTATCACATTTAAGACTGCTGTTTGCAGCTGTCCATTGCATTTGTGTCCTGTCTGTTGCACAGCAGCAAGCTCCTGTTCGGTTAACTCTTTGCTCTCCTGGATACTGACTCAGCTTTGGCTAAGACTCCTCCTGGCTTCTGACCCCGGCTCTGGCGACCATTCTTCCTGGCTTCTGACCCCGGCTCTGGCGACCATTCTTCCTGGCTTCTGACCCCGGCTTTGGCTACGATTCCCGCTGGTTCTCGACTTGATTATCCTGGAAGACGACCTCGGCAGGAGAACTTCTGTCCTACCAAGTCATCCGCTGTTGCTGTCGGACTTGCAAAGACTTTTGCCTTGTTTCTGTGTGTAAATATACCTACCTTTATTTGCACCTCCTTGTGTGTCTGGCTCCTCGCTCCCTGACATCCCCAGAGTCTTCAGTGTATCCAAAATGTATCCCCAGTCTAATCTATCGATCGCTTTCTTGGCGTCTACCGACAATAACAGAACTGGGAACTTATCTGTTTTACTTTTTTCTATAAGCATTATTGACCTTAATCCATTATCCCTACCTTCTCTCCCAGAAACAAACCCCACTTGATCCATATGGATCCACTCCAGCATTAACTCCTTCACCCTATTTGCTAAAACCTTTGCATATAGTTTGGTGTCTATATTTAGTAGGGATATCGGTCTATAGCTAGAACACTGTGTACTATTTTTCCCTTCTTTTGGTATTAATGTAATATGTGCCTGGAGGGATTCCTCCCTCATTTCCATTTCCCCTCCCAGTGCATTCATATATATAGTTAATTGAGGTATTAATTGTTCTTTAAATTTCTTATAGTATCTCACCATATACCCATCCATCCGGCCCCCGGGCTTTTCCCTGCCTGGTGCTCTTTAATGCATTATGAATTTCTTCTTCTGATATTTCTCTCTCTAGGGATATTAACTGTTCTTCTCTCACTTTTGGTAACCCCACCTCTTTTAAATATATCTGTCTTTTTTTACTTTCTTCCTCTTCTCTTATGGACTGTTGGGAATTGATATCATATAATTTACTATAATAATCTTTAAACACTTTTGCAATATTTTTGGTAGAATATTTTAGTTCTCTATTATCTCTTACTTTCTCTATAAAATTCCTACTTTTCTTTTTTCTTTGAGCCCTCATTAAGAATTTTCCTGGTCTATCTCCCCACCGATATCTGTCAAGGTCCTACCTTTTTACCAGAGGTTATGTTATTCCATGTGATGGCATCCATCTTGGATTTCTGCAGAGCATGGTGGGAATCTTTTATGCCTTCAGGTCTCTGAGGTCCATCCCCCAGAGGGGTGTGGCTGATGACATATAAGCCTGTGTTCCCACACATGCTCTTTGCACTTGTGTCTTGTGTCTTTGTGTTGCTGTTACTCTGCTCTGACTCTCGTGACTCTCCTGGAATCTGACTCGGCTTGTGACCTGACCATTCTTTGTGTTCTCCTTTGATCTGACCCTCCGTTGCTGAACCCGGCTCGTGACCTGTGATTCTCGTCTGCTGTCCTGTACCGTTTTGTCTCGTTGTTGTTGACCTGGCCTGTCTGACTACTCTATTGTCTTTACTACTAGCTACACGCCATTGGCGGTGGCCATTACCGCAGCTGGGGTGCCTCAGGGGCCGCGACCTGGTTCCTGGCTGCGTCAAGTCCATCCCCACCATCAGGGGCCCTGGTGAAGGGCAGCCTGGGACTTAGACTCCACGCCCTGAGGGACTTCGGTCTGT